GATGGATGGATGGATGGATGGATGGATAGATGATAGATGGATGGATGGATGGATGGATGGATGGATGGATAGTGCGGTTTTGAACACTCCCCAAGCTACTTGTTTAGAGCCCTCTGCTGAAATGTGTGAGAAATTTTTACATTTTTTTATCAATAAGATTGAGGCTGTTAGAGCTAATATTTCTCTCCCATTGACATTTGTATCCATTTCCACTGAGTGCTCTGCTGTTTTTAATCAGTTTGAGCCGGTGTCTCTTACCTCATTGAGAGAGATCATTGTTAAAATGAAATCATCCTCATGCGGCATGGATATTGTTCCTCCTTGTCTTCTGAAAGACTCATTTGAAACTGTTGGTCCTAAAATTCTTGCAATTATTAATAGTAGCCTAGCCTCGGGAGTCGTACCTAAGTCTTTTAAACATGCAGCAGTGGAACCAGTAATCAAGAAATCTAATTTGGATTCATCAGTTTTTGCTCATTTTAGACCCATCTCAAAACTTCCGTTTCTTTCCAAACTACTGGAGAAGGTTGTATTTGGACAACTGAATTCATTTCTAGATCTACATGGTATTTACGAAGTGTTTCAGTCTGGTTTTAAATCTTTACATAGTAGACACTGCACTGTTGAAGGTTTTTAATGACTTGTTACTTGCTACTGACTCAGGGGACTGTGCGATTTTAATTCTACTAGACCTTTCGGCTGTAGTTGATACTGTAGACCATAAGATCTTGATTACACGCTTAGAACAATGTGTTGGTATTAAGGGCACTGCGTTGGGATGGTTTAGATCCTATTTGTCCGAAAGAACTTTCTCAGTTCGCGTTGGAGATTTTGTCTCCTCAACTGCTTCTTTCACGTGTGGGGTCCCCCAGGGCTCCATTTTGGGGCCTATTTTGTTCTCCCTGTATATGCTCCCCATTTTTAGGAATTTTAGGAAATTTGGTATAACTTTTCATTGTTATGCAGACGATACGCAAATTTATCTACCGTAATGTGGGAGAGATACTTGCTCTTTAGCACCCCTATTGCAGTGTCTTGAGGAAATTAAGGCCTGGATGGCACTAAATTTCCTTAATTTTAATGAAAATAAAACAGAAGTTATACTGTTTACGCTCTGTAATGTTTGCATAAGCAGGTCATTTCTCTTGACTCACCACGGCTCAGACCCCAAACCGTACCAGGCCAGCTGGAGAATCTGGAAACCCAGACCCAGAAGAACCGTGTTCTTGTTCCCGATGGTCCTCATTAATAAAGTCAGAAACAGCGTCTGGCGGGAACATGAGAATAAATAATCACACTGCCCTGCAACATATTTGCTGAACAAATAGTCGTTTCATACAAATTTTGGGTTCCGATTTCAAAAATTGTGTGTCATACTTTCTCACAAAATATAATGCATTCGTTACAGAATACACCACCAAGAACAAAATGAACCCAGCTGATCGCCTAGTTCGCCTCCGTCAAGGTAATCGCTCTGTTGAGGAATATGTGGCAGATTTTTGTGAACTGTGCTACCAGGTGGCTTTTAACAATACCTTTCTGAAAGACATTTTCCGTTTTGGTTTGGAAGGAAACCTATCACAGTTAATGCCACACAATACCCCACACTGGTCACTTGAACAATATATAGATTTTGCTTTGAGAATGAGTGGGTCTGCTTACACTGTTGGTGTCATGGAGAAGGAACATGACACTTCCCAAAAGTCTGCTAACGTCATGCCTGCTATGCCAAAGCCTGCTCACATCATGTCTGCCAAGCTACAGCCTGCTCACGTCATGTCTGCTATGCCAAAGCCTGCTCACGTCATGTCTGCCAAGCCACAGCCTGCTCACGTCATGCCTGCTACGCCAAAGCCTGCTCATGTCATGCCTGCTACTCCAGGACCTGCTCAGACCATGCCAGTTAACTCACGTCCTTTTGGGAGAGCCCTCGGTGGTGATTGGTTGGTTGCCGGGTTACGGAGGAGCCTCAAAGTTCTTCTGAGAGAGTCTGATTTTGCAAGACTTTGAGTTCTGCAGAGTTACAAAGCTTCAACGGAGTGGTTTGAAACGACCTTTGAAACGAAGAGATACTTGCTCTTTAGCACCCCTATTGCAGTGTCTTGAGGAAATTAAGGCCTGGATGGCACTAAATGTCCTTAATTTTAATGAAAATAAAACAGAAGTTATACTGTTTACGCCGGGAGGTACTTGTGAGTTATCAGATTTGGACCTTGGTGAATTGAAGCCACTTGTGAAGCCCTATGTAAAATATTTAGGTGTTATCATAGACTGTGATTTTAAATTGGACAAACAGATTAACTCGGTAGTTAAGTCCTGTTTTTTTCCAATTGAGACAACTCACCAAGGTGAAATCTTTCATGTCTTCTAAAGACTTTCAAAGAATAGTCCATATTTTTATTTCAACTCGTCTGGATTATTGTAATGGCCTCTATATAGGTATTAGTCAGGCCTCTCTCTCCAGACTGCAGATGGTCCAGAATGCGGCAGCTCGATTGCTGACGGGTATACGAAAGCGGGAACACATCACCCCCGTTCTTGCCTTTCTTCGCTGGTTACCTGTCCATTTCAGGATTCAGTTTAAGATTTTGGTATTTGTTTTTAAATCTCTTAATGGTTTAGCACCTAAATATCTGTCCGACTTGATCAAGCTGTATGCTCCGCTAAGAGCACTTAGGTCTGCTGACCATTTGCTTTTAGTTGTCCCACGGGTAAAGTTGAAGAGCAGGGGTGACCGAGCATTTGCAGAAAAATCCTTGGGAGAAACCAGGCTCAGTCAGGAATAGCTCTGGAATAGCTTGCCCCTCTACATTAGACAGGCTCAAACACTTGCTGTTTTTAAATCTAGCCTATAAACTCATTTTTATAGTCTTGGCATTTGACGCTGCATGAGAGCTTCTTTCTTCTATTGTTTTTATGGTGTCTTATTGTCTTTTTATTGTGTTGTTGACTGTGTGTGTCTTTGACATTTTTATTCTTTTATGTGTGTACAGCACTTTGATGAACACTTGCTGTTTTTTAAAAAAGTGCTTTATAAATAAACTTTGACTTTGACTTTATTAGTTGTGTCCTGTTCTCAGTTTAGGGTCTGTTCCTGTCTATGTGATGTTGGTTTACTTGCCTGTCTCCTGGATTTTCTAATTAAAATACCTTTTTGTTGATCTTCTTCGTCCTCGTGCGTTTGTACCTCACCAACACGTAACACCATGTTCCTTTACGAAAATTAGTGGTGGTTTTAACACGAATAACACAAAAAAATCATGGTTCTTGCAGCCATGGTAACCGCAAATTAACCATGGTTTTGTTACTTCAAATAATAATTTACAAAGAATTATTAAGATAATATTTTTTGTGGTTATAAAAACAGACCATGCATTATATGAAAACAATGAGGCAATAATGACTGCTTATAACAACACTGGTTATAACACTGTTAAAATACATAATGTAGGCTAATACAAAATAAACAATTTATGTACATTACATGTTATTACAAATGCCTGCAAAGGGAGCCAAAGGCTTGGTAATTGCTACTGCTACACTTACAGGACAATCAATTCCTTGTTTAGGCTATTGGCCAAACATTTAATTCAAATATTCACTTAATCTTTAATTTTTGGCCATGTTTTTGCTATAGATGACACATGTGTACAGCCTCTATAATTTCTTCAACAAAAAACATGTGGACATTACAACCCTTACAAACATAAATGTAGTAAATCATAGTAAAACTGCGTAATTTTCTTTTGCGTGATTTCTGAATGCTTGAGACTATAAAATCAATTAGACAACTGTATTAATATAGCCATAGGCAACTGTCTAGATCTACAATTGTAATTTGTAAATAATACAATTTATTTATTTATTTACTTTTATATTTTATTAAAGTTCTATTTTGACCCCTATAGTAGATGTTTTTTTTTTGTTGTTTTTACTTCCATAATATTTGAGGAAGGGGCGCACAACAATACAATCCTGCTTAGGGCACCCATTTGGCCAGCAGCGGCCTTGACCATTGGCACAAGACCTTGGAAACCAGAAAAGTCTTCTGCACAATCTGACCTGTGTTGCAGCCTGGAATTAAACCACGCCATGCTGATTTCGTCTGGCCAGAGGAGAACTGGCCCCCTGACTGAGCCTGGTTTCTCCCAAGGTTTATTCTCCATTTCTGTCACAGATGGAGTTTTGATTCCTTGTCAGTGTCGCCTTTGGCGTACTTAGTTGGGACACTTGACTGATTGCACAGACACTATTGGAATGACTCTATTATCTTCTTGAATTATTGACAAATAATTTTCCTGTTTGACACTGTAAAGCTGCTTTGACACAATCAGTATTGTATAAAACGCTATACAAAAAAAGGTGACTTGACTTGACTTGACATTGATGTTGGTGAGAATCTGCAAATAAAACAGTTTCCGTATAGAGTTAATCCTGCTAAGCATGAAATTATGAAGGCTGAAGTTAAGTATTCACTCCAGAATGGTTTTGTAAAGCCTAATGAAAGTCCCTGGAGTTCACCTTGCTTATTAGTCCCAAAACCAGATTCAACTTTTCGCTTTTGTACGGACTATCGAAAGGTGAATAGTATCACTAAGCCGGAATATTTTTCCTTGCCCCGTTTAGAAGACTGTGTAGACCGAGTCGGATTTAGCTAAGTATGTAACTAAGCTTGATCTGTTGAAAGGCTACTAGCAAGTTCCTTTAACACCACGAGCTTCAGAAATTTCTGCCTTCATAATGACAGATAACTTCTGATAACTCTGTCCTCACCTTTGGGATGCAAAATGCACCTGCGACGTTCCAGAGGTTGGTGCATAAGGTACTGACTAATATTCCAAACTGTGCAGCGTATCTGGATGACATAGTCATCTATTTGGATGGGTGGCAAGAACATCTAAAGTCCCTCGAGTGTATTTTCCAACATTTGGAATGGCTTAAAGAACAAAATAGCCAGCCACTGTTTGACGCCCCTGCACAACCCGAAGCTCCATTTTCCCATTGACAGAAAAAGCACCCCAGATCATGATGGAGCCTCCTCCACTGTGCTGAGTAGAAAACATCTCCAGTGGGATCTCCTTGTCATGCCAGTAACACTGGAAGCCATCAGGACCGTCCAGGTTAAATTTTTTCTCATCAGAGAATAAAACTTTCTTCCACCTTTCAATGTCCCATGTTTGGTGCTCCCTTGCAAATTCCAAACGAGCAAGTTTGTGGCGTGGGAGGAGACATGGCCTTCGAAGACGTTCTTTGTTCAAGCCCTTCTCTTGCAGATGCTGTCTTATGGTTATTGGGCTGCAGTCGGCAACAGTGAGGGCCTTAGTTTGGGTCGAGGATCGGCCTGTGTCTTCACGGACAGCCCGTCAGATCCTCCGGCTCAGTGCAGGTGAAATTTTTTTGGGTCTACCACTTGAGATTTTTGTTCCATAACTCTCAGGATCTTTTAAGAAATGTAAAATTACTGTCTTACTGCATCCAACCTCGGCAGTGATGGCGCGTTGCGTGAGCCCTTGATTGTGCAGCTCAACAATCCTGCCACGTTCAAAGACAGGAAGCTTTTTTGCCTTTGCCATCAGGAGATCATGACAGTGTGACTGCCTAAAGGACAATGACATGAAAGCCATATTTTTGCGCAGATTTTCACTTTTTAAGGCTATGGTCTTAAACTTTTGATCAGCTGATGAACAGCCTGTTTGAGTTTCAATGCAGTTTTCAATAAATTGCCTACTCTCTATTTTTTGTCTCTTGATCCTGTTTCTTCTTTTGGCATTTTGAAGAAGTACTTACAACCTGGTTACGATCCACCAGCGCGAAATGTGAATAATTGTAATGTTTCCCCCGGTCTTAAGATTTTGTTCAGGAGTGTATATAAACATTTGAGCCCCGGTCCCTGGCTCGGATCAGAGGCACAAAAAAACCTGATCAGACATCCCTAATTTCCACATATGAATGAGGCCTGAAATCAATCTGAGAATATTTTATCCATGTGTTTTTTTCCTACTTACATGTTTGTGGGTAATATCCTATCTGTGCCACATGGGAGATAAAATCAGAATTGCATCACTTGTACCACATAATGTAAATGCGGCAATGTGAATAGGCAATAAAAAGGAAGGTGGATGGGTTTACCATTCACAGAAGCTGAGCAGCATGGTGCTTTTAATGCTTGAAGAATGCAAGATATGATAAGTAGCATGATGAGGCTGAATACAGAAATATTTGCCAACTGTTTACAATAAAAATGTTAAACAACTGGCATTAATATTCAGGGATGCAAACTGCTGCTCACCTTTTTGAATTCCTTAGATTTTAATGCGATTTACGTTATTTATTCAATTTCAAATTCTGTATGATGAGCAGTTTTCAGCATATATTAGCAGGGACAGACTTAACCAATAAACAAGGTAATCGGCCGCTTAGGGCCCCAAGTAGGAAAATTATGAATATTGGCACACTTATAGTGGTGGTTCTGAACAGTACCACCAATTCAAAATTACACTTTTCAAATGTTCATAACTTTTGAACTGTTTGACTTAGAAAAAAAGACATTTAGAATAACTAATTACTCTACTCATGCTGACCAACTTCCATATCTTAAATTAAGACTCTGAATAGTACAGTATTGTTTTTTTTTTTTGTTTGTTTTTGCCTCTACTCTCGAATTTTGTCCAAATCTTATTAAAATTGAACCAGATGCTGGACCAAGCTGCACTGAAATGACCACACAGAATTTTTATTGTCATATTTATTAAAAAAGTTATAAGGATGCAAACTTAACAATGTCAACCAAAATTATATCTCAGAAATACTTTGGTCTACCAAAGTACACTTCATCAGCAGAGTGATCTGAGGATCCATGCAGAATTTGGGAACACTGCCACCTACAGATAATGAGATCTGAAAAATGGCCATTTTTGCTTATAACTTTTGACCAGTTTGTCAGAAAATGTTGATTTCAGTGTTTATAGATTCAGTGGGTCATGCCGAATCCATGGATCAGATGACGCTCCTGTCTGCCGTATTGAAATTTTATCATACATTTTAATATCTTTAAAACAATTTGACATGTTGACACAGAAATATGGTAGGACTCAATGGCTGTGTCCGAAAATGTCTCAGGTTACACATGTAACCATGGTTCCCTAAGAATAGGGAACAAGAGGCTGCATCCCCTAGAGGGTGCTATGGGGAACGCCTTCAGCGTAACCAGTGTCTGAAGCATGAATGTAATGTGTGGTGCGGGTATAAAAGGGCACCTGTGAAACACGTCATCCACTTCTTTGTCTGTAGAAGACGTAAGCAGGAATGCCTGAAGCATGGCAAAGAGATGCAGCATCTCATTCCCTGAAGGCCTTAGCATACCGACTCTTTAAGAGGAGACCTGGCTACACTCAATGCCAGAGAGTTTGTGAGGCTCGCAAGAGAGCCTACATACTAATACCTAAGTGGAGCTCTGGAAAGCGAAGGCTTCAGGAGGATGACTCTTAAATGAGAGGAAGCCTGATGACACTCACCAAAGTTACGGAGAGTGGAGGTCTCAGCATAATGACTCTCTAAAGCGAGAGGAGACCTGGCTACATTCAACGCTGGAGACAGTTAGTGAGGCTCATACTAAAAGCCTACATACTAATGTCACTGTCTAAGCGGAGCCCTCAGCAGGATGACTCTCTTAAAGAAGAGGAAGCCTGATGACACTCACCAAAGTTACGGAGCTCTAAGAGTGGAGGTGTCATCATAATGACTCTCTAAAGCAAGAGGAGATCTGGCTACACTCAATGCCAGAGACAAGTTAGTGAGGCTCACCTTCTTATATATATATATGTGTGTGTGTGTGTGTGTGTGTGTGTGTTTATTTTATTTATTTATTTTTCCTGTCACCGATGGAGGTTGGGTTCCTTGCCACTGTTACATCTGGCTTCCTTATTTGGGGACATTTAATATTCAGCAAAATTGTTGCATTGACTGTACAGACTGAGCTGGATGATGACATCATTGTTTTCTACAGGGCTGCTTTACAGCTGAATTGAACTACTTTTGTAATCAATGATCTTTACACAGTTATTGAAGAGAACTGATTCAACACTAAATTGACCTCAGCTGAATAATGACACAGTTGTTTTTTAGAGTTGCTTTACAGCAGAATTGATTCTTCAATAAACTCTGCTCATTTCTGGGTACCAAACAAGCCTTGTTGTTAATGGGGTTTGGATACTAGAAAAAAAGGAATACTTTCTGGCAGGATTCAGGTTTGGTTCTGAAATTTCTGACGTGGAGACTTGGTCTAACATAATGAAGGCAAACATTTGTCAAAAGCTTACCTGTGTCTTTGATGGCTATTCAGAAGGGCATAGCTAAATATCTCATTAATAACTGGTAAGCTTTTGACAAATGTCTTTGTTAAACATGGTAAAGGAACATTGATCAAAATGTTTATCATGTTGCCTAGGTTTTCAGCATATAAAGTTTGCAAAGCAAATTTGGAGTTGACAGGCAGTGTCATTATTAATCCTACTGGCTTCAAATTGCAGACTATTATTCCTATTAGCTTCAAATGGCCATTTTTATCTATTTATATATTTGAAATAACAGTAGAGTGTAGGTAGATGTAGTGTCTGTCTGGGTGCAGCAGCAGTTCACCCTCTACTACAGAAGATTATAGAGACAAAAATGTTGAATAATTGAGATGCCCCTCGCTGGTCACATGACCAGTCGTGAGACAGTTTACAGCAACATCAAGCTCGGCCAGAGCTGAATCTCATATTAGCCTCAGGATAGGTGTGGGTCATTGTTCACGGGCCTGTGTGTTCATCCTGTTTGTCTTGTCATGTTTTCTGTCACTTGTTGGTGGCGTTCGTTGCTGGGGAAACGCTGCTCAGCTGAAGAGTTTATTAATCCAGCACACTTGAGGCTCGTCACTGCTGCTATATATGTGGAGTGTTTGCTCTTGTCTTTTGTCAGATTTTTTGGTGTTCTTACCTGCTGTGTTTTTGCTTCGTCCAGTTTTTGTCTCCAGTTCACTGTGTCATTGTTTGTTCCTGTTTCCTGCCTGGATTATCTCTGCTCCTTTCTCTGGAATTATCGGGACTCTTCTTCAGCAGACAACACTCAGCCCATCCCTTACGAAAATTAACCATGGTTTTAATACAGTAACCATAGTTAAACTATGGTTTTTGTAGTAAAACCATAGTAGCTACATAATAAACCATGGTTTAACTATGATTTTTGTAGTAAAACCATAGTAACTACATAGTAATTACAAAAGAACCATGGTTTTACTACAAAAACCATGGTTTATCAATGGGTTACTATGGTTTTACTACAAAAACCATTTCAATATGAAACTCTTAGTAAAACAAAATAGTGATCATAATCATGCTGAGGCTGTGTAGTTTTAAAAGTGTTTAATATATGCCGACTCGTGCATATGATCCGCTCCGAGCTATCGCATCTCTGGACCGGAGCCAAAGTCCGGATCAGACTGTGCACGCTGCCGCGGTTCGCGTGACACAACGTGAAACCAGACCTCATTTGCCCCAATCGAAAGCATATTTACACTGTCTGAATCCTTCCCTATCGCCTACATTGTGCACTACGTGCCATTCGCCGTACACTGTGAACAACTGACCAATCTCAGCCGCAGCTTCAGCGTCTATTTATAGTGTAGTTATTACTGATTGGTTCCTGATTATCCAATCACAATTGAGAAATTACTTTTAACTTGATCTGAGAGAGCTTCAGACATCAGACAAGACAAGCATGGCTCTGAAGCTCGAGAGAGGGAGGATTAAGTGCCTATTTTTCATTAAAAATGTTCATTTATGTTCATGCTAGCCTAATACATTTTCTCTCAGCATAATTAATATATGGGAATATCCAGCAGATGTATTTTTGTTATTTTCCATTTGTTAGTAATTGTGTGATCTCTTATTAGCTTACAATGTTAAAAGTTAGCAATGCGTTTGGAAGTTCCATGATAAGTGAATGCAAAACTGATTTCTTGGGGTTACAATGCCGACAATCATCCAACCCATTCAATCCGCCAACCTCCTATGCTAAAAACATGGCCTTTTTTAAGTGGCATTTTACGTTCATTTAGTCGTGGCGTCCATTGTAATGGACATGAAAAAATACCAATAAAAACATGAGTTATCAAAAATGTTTTTTTTCCCCTTTATTTCTATGCTGGAAGGGAGTAAAAATCAACTGGGAAATTTTTTTTTTGCTCAGCAGAAAAAAATCAGGTCTGAAGGGGACAGATAACCTTAAGACTAACATATTGATACTAACACCCAAAATACGTTAATTTTGATTTAACGGGGACTTTAACTAAGGGACTAGCACCAGTTCAATCGAGAGGATGTGGTGCTGGTCCTTCAAGAGTCAATCTCAATCTGTCCATCTATAAAGCCTCTGATTCTTATTAAGAGGGGGGTCAT